ATCTATAAAGCTAGCAATGTTTGTATGTATGTTAAGCTTTAACAGGATTGTTATATGTCAGTAAAGAATATACATGTAACCCTTTCTTAATACAGTCCAACGGTCGATTAGTACATAGGAAATTATGACAATAATTTCCAAATCACTTAAGATAAAATATCAATTATTGCCTTCAAAAATGAACAATAGATACTTTAAAAGCATCTTCGGACCATTGATCAAGACGGTAAATCATAACTTTAAATTTTACACTGTTGTTCAATGTCCCTTTTGCCATAAAAACCACACACAATCAAGGCACTTAAATGCTTTTAATTTTTAAGATATATTGTGTCAATATTATCTCGAAAAAACTCAGCCAGCACTTTACTTATGTTTTGAAGCCCTATACACTTTACAATATTTTATTCCATACCTTCGCATCAAACAGAATATCCATTGTTCTCATTCAAATTATTACTTTACTGCACAATGTGTCTTAGAAGAGAAGTAAGAAAAAATCAGAGATTTATTTGGGCAAAAAAAAATTCTGGATTGAGAAACAATAACAAAAAATTTAAAGCTTTTATGACTTTATTGCCACTCTTCAACTCCAAATATTCATTCGGTGTTTCTTTGCTCAGTTCCACGTCTGTTTCCCTTTTGTTGTCTTTATTTTTCTTCTCTCTTACTCGCTCTCTTGGCCAGTAAAGCGGTTTCGTCTCTATACCTTTTCAAATGAAATATCTTTACGTGTATTATAGATATGTACATGGATGGGTCTACTAATTTATTTATTTTATGCCGCCTGAAACACACAAGAAAAATCTTTTCATCGCTTAATTCCGATCCATTCAGGAATTCAATTCAACAATTTTTTTTATGGATTCAGAAGAAAAACAAAAAAAGAGTTTTTTTTGTAAAGAAAAAGCGTCTTATTGTTCAATTAAAAGTTCTTTTCATTTCAATGTCGAAATATTATAATATTTTTCGGCCAATCTTTTTTTCGATTTGAATTTTTTAATTTTTGCTGCTTTGAATTATAGAGCTTTATAACGCATTTACTTATGAGGCACAATATATTAATAAAGAAATGAATTTCTTTTGTCTGATCCCAAAGTTCAGTTATTGATTTTTTTTTCAGCTTTTAAGTTTCTCTATTCCCAAAATTGAAATTATGCGATTTTAATAGTAATTGAGTCTATTTGCAAAATTGGGAAAAGATTAACATAGATAAGATTTAGTTTTTTCGGGATTATTCAAAAATAATGATAATGTGTTAAACATTTCCAACCTAGTAATTTATGATTGATTTGATAAATATCTTAAGAACTTGATATGAAAGAAGTTTTTGCAATACTTTTGGACATTGGTTCTTTAACTCAGTGCTGCGGCATACATATATAGATTTTACTTAGTTCTTCGGATTAGCTTTAGAATTAAATACGTTAGTTGAACTAGGCAAACTCAGACTATTTTATCAACATTTTTACAAATCTATATTTTAAGAATGTTTATAATTTTGGAGCACAATTATTCGGTTGTTAACAAATGAAATACAAATAATTCTCATATTCATGACCAAGATCAAAGTCAACCATCAAGTATTATACATCATTAGAAAGGTTCTGACTTAAGCTATAATAAACTGGAAACAAAATTAAAAAATAGTTTGTTTTGTAAGAGTACTAGTGGTTTGAGTGATGAGAAAAGCATACAAGTCGTCAGATAATTGTCATGAAAAAATTTCTTCACCATTTGTTTTGTAACAGTATTTTTGATTAGAAAACATGAAAAAACTTATTTGTATTCATTGATTTATATTTTTTATAAGCAATTTTAGTTTTTGGTTAAATATTCATCGACTCACTAAAATCGCTATAACTTTTTAATGCAGAACTATATTGGACAAAGTTCATACAGTTCTGAAAACTACAAGTTAAGAACTACATGTTGGTGTGATTCTACCCCCTACTATTCTGCGATCTAAGATACTTGCGGCACGTGTGAAGATATTTTTCCACTGTTTTTCTTACATATCCTACCATAGCGGTACCAAAACTACAAAGTTAAAATCTTTGTGGAATATCAAAATGAAGCTCTCATATATTACTATTAGTAACTGAAAACCGTTTTTCAATATCTTTAATAATCATAAGGAACTTTAGATTTAAAGAGGGCATGAAAAAATCAGAATTTTCACTCATTTTCAACTTTAAACAGTCGCAAAATCGCAGGAACAGCACCAAATGACTTGAAATTTGGCATAGAAGTCTATTTTTATGTCTTATACAAGAAAAAGTATACCTGAGTTTGTAATTCGAAAAAGTCCCAAAATCAAAGTGAAAGTCCCTTTTTTTTTAATTTTGCCCCATAGTGTACTTTCCAAAATGAAAACCTTATTTTAAGATTATTAGTACTTAATTTTCTTTTTTTTGCTTAATCATTAACAATAAACATACATAGAACAAATATAAAATAAGAATTTTTCTCTCAAACGAAGATTTTATGTTTTATTTATTGAAAATTTTAAGGCTTCTTTAATATTCTCTTAATCCCGGGATTCCCCGGGATCCCGGGATCGAGAATTTTCAATCCCGTAATCCCGGTATTGAAAATTTGGACCGGGATTGAAAACCCTACTTGAAAATATAAAATTGTAAATTCAAAAATCTTCAAAATTCTGAAATTTTTTAAAAACAAATTTTAAATTAAAGAAACTTCTTTTAAATAAATGAAAAAAAAAAACAGAAAATTTTATCATAAAAATTAATGCGGAATGCATTGAAAATGTTTGCGAGAATTTTTAAGCGCGTGATGTGCTTCATAAGTAAATGGCACACCGAGGAATAATAATAACGATACTTTTTTGTTGAGACTTCATGCAACTTCATAAAATATTTGCACAGCCATATTCTTTGTTAAACGGAAAATAATATTGAAACTGGAACTTCTTCTTGTCAAGATGAATATCAAATAATAAAAAATATATAAAAAATGAGTCTCAAAAGACTGTCCATCATATCTCCAATTTACCATTTAACCAAACGAAGTGATCAAATACAACCAGTGTATTCATGTCTATATATTTCTTAAAGAGTAAACATACAAAGCAAAGCGAGCGATTGCTTGGTTATGAACGCAGAAAATGTAATGGAACACAAAGTTAAGAGATCTTTTATAAGCCATAAGTCGAACTCTCAATGGAGTATTGGCATAAAAAAAGCATTGAATAAAAATTTGAAAAATGGCCCCGCAAACATTCAAGTCACGAATTAATGGAATAGATAAACACGAAGAAAAATCCCCAAAAAAAATAATATATAAATTAAAATACTTAAGGCATGAGTGATCATGTGCTGTTGTGTGTGCTTACATTTTAATTGTGTAACCTGTTTGTGAAACCTCTTTTTTTCTGTTGAAATCAGTTTTAAATAAAATCTTTTATGAAAATTTAATGAACCAGCCACGATTCCAATGAATTTCTTCATTTTTTAATGAACGTTTCCATTCCACTTCTTATTTACTTTTTTTCAGCATGAACTGTTTCAATTTAACTTCCATATTTTCCACGAAATTGAGATCACGTTTTTCTAACATAAATAAGTATACAGCTCTATTCAATTATAATGTATAATGGACTCAAATCAGCCATTTTGAAAAGATATGTGCGTCTACGGACACATCTAGATCACCAGCGATATTGAAAAAGTAAATAAATTAACATTCAACAGAGTTATTCGTTATATCAACAAAAGTATCTTCTTTTTTTTACAATGTTTATGGAAGAATATCAATAAATCCATTGCTTTTAAATATTTGAAATTCGTGGACAAACATACGAGCCAGCAAACATTATCATGTTCGACTCCATAGTTGAAAGTTTTTTTAATTACACAATTTCCCATAATGTCACACAGACACACAAATGGGGAATTGTGTCCTATAAAACTTTCCTTCCTCCGAATAATAAAAAAAGTTAAATTTATTAATATTCATAATGGACTTACTCTATTATCATCAGTTATAATTATGAATGTGTGAAATTCGGGATCTTTCACACATTTAACTTCTTACTTAATTTCCATTTTTATTTTTCCATCCTCTCCTATAATAATGTGGCCATATAAGAGCGATGAAAATGTGTTAAATTTACGTGCATCTATAAAATTGTAAAATGATAATTAATTAGAAACAGTAGTGTCAATAATTTTATAAACATCAGATGTATCCCACACCACACGTGTATAACATGCCTACTTACATATAAATTTTATTATACATATCTCTATGATTTGAAGACTCGTTAAATGATTTTCTACACATTTTTGAATGAATAAAATTTTCAACGGTTTTCAAAATTTTAAATTCTGTCGTTAAAAAACGTTTTGAACTGCAGATTGTTTACAAAAAAATTGATATTTAAAATCACTCAAAATCATCTGAATTCTTATTAAAATTGAATGCAATGTCAATCATATCAACACAACTATTATGAGCTAGCTTTTTAAAATAATTAAAACTACCAAAAACTCTATTTGAGACAGAAAACGATAAAAACATTTTTCAACACCAAAGTTAACTGAAGTTCAAAAAATTCAAAAATTAATTTAACGGATACTTCTGAACTGTTTCGTCGATCCCCTACAATTCTTATCGTATAAATCTGTTTATCACGTGTTAATAGTTGGCAATATTGTTTTATCACTCACACAATAAGGCACACTTCTAATGTTCCTATATTAATTGACCTGCAATAAAAAAAGAGTCGCGCTGTTTAGTAATTTAGTGAAAATTAAAATCTTAAATATTGACCGTTTTAAATAGCACATTAAAATTCATTTTCGTCCATTTAATAAATTAAAGATTACACATGAAATTTATCACTTTCCATTCACACGCGGTACTTTATTTTACATTCAGTTTTTGGGTGGAAGTAATGTGTTGCATTATCACAGGAACATATGAAAATTCTCAACATGACTGACATTCATCTATTTCCATTAATGACTCATTTACAGGTAGCGTACATGCGATGACAACAACGACAACATCGTACATTCTATCAACAATTGAACCGCAAAACACAATGTCAACTTTAGATGATAATGATAGATCGAATGACCATAAAATGATTAAGCTCAATACAGACACGTCACCATCTTTAGTCAATTTATCGAGTCTGAGTAAAAGTTTGGATATGGAGAGAAATTTGATGGTTAATTTAGGTGAGTTTTTTTCAAGAAGAGGGGGGGGGGGGGTAGGTGAGTTTTTTTTCAAGAAGAGGGGGGGGGGGGTTAGGTGAGTTTTTTTAAGAAGAGTCTTTTTGGGGCTACCTTCTTCATTATTTATTAACTATTTAAATTTTTAAACTCAAAGACGAACGAGATCTCTGGTGTCGTTTCCAAAACTTGACAAATGAAATGATTGTGACGAAAAATGGTCGCCGCATGTTTCCAGTTGTAAAAATCAGCGTGTCAGGGTTAGATGCAGCTGCTATGTACACAATATTGTTAGAATTCGTTCAAATTGATTCTCACAGGTAGGAGGGCATTCATTTTTTCTAGAAAGCTTACAATATGCTTAATATTTTATTTTCTATAGATGGAAATACGTAAATGGAGAATGGGTAAGTTGTTGCCTTTATTTTAATTCGAGAAAAAGATTATCGATTAGACACATAGAGGCTCTACAGTGTTAATTACTTCTGCTAATTTTTCTACGCCTTGTAGAAACAACGGCATGCTTAACGAGTTGTGCACGAAATAAATGCAAGTGTTAATTGAATAGTCACTCAAATGCACATTATTTCTAGTTCATAGTCATTATTTCTGTAGCTTAATAGAAATTTCAAAACGATTTTTCAAATCTACTAGGTTCCTGGGGGTAAAGCAGAAGCAGCGCCTAATAATCCAGTCTATTTTCATCCGGAAAGTCCTAATTTTGGTGCTCATTGGATGAAGGAACCGATTTCATTCGCAAAAGTTAAATTAACAAATAAGACAAATGGCAATGGTCAAATTATGCTGAATTCCTTACACAAATATGAGCCACGTGTTCATGTTGTACGCGTTGGAAGTGAACAACGACAAGTGGTGAGCATTGAATTATAACAAAAAGACATGTCAACCAATTTTGTTCTTCTTCTCTTTTATCTTCGATTCCCATTAAAAAAACTCAGGTCACGTTTCCATTTCCTGAAACTCAATTTATTGCAGTCACAGCCTATCAGAATGAGGTTAGCATTGACATTTTCATTAATTATTGATTGGGTTATTCGCATGTGACGTTTAGGTTCACTTTTGATGTCTTTGATTTGAATTCACATTTTGAGAGGGTGTCAAAAAATTCTATTTTTATGGCTACTATAATGAGACATTCCTCTGTAAAGCCACAAACTTTTTTAATTCGGACGTCACTAATGAACAGCCCCCAATTAATCCATGAACATAATAATACAACAAAAAACCTCATTTATAGGAAGTAACATCCTTGAAAATTAAATACAATCCATTTGCAAAAGCATTTCTCGATGCCAAGGAACGTCCAGACTCAATTTATAGCCGTGAATCAGCTGCATGTGGAGGCTGGTATTTTCCAAATTCATTCACTGCAAGTCCAACGTCTTATACAAATTCAGAAAAGTATACAGCTGCTATAACTAATAAGACATCATATCGTACAACACCGTATCCAACACAGAAGCCCACACCTGTTCGAGTTGTTAATAAACATTCACCACCATCAAATCATTCTCCGCAATATAACCAGAATGCGACATCAAGTAAGAATTATTGTACATAGGATTATGATTTATGTTGTAATAAATTATGTCTCCTTCCTTTTTTTTCGTCACTAAAAGATTATACAGTTTTGGAAACAACAAATTCATCATCTTTCTCAACATATCCTTCGTCTACGTGGCAACCGTCTACATCAACCACATCGGGTGCTTCTTATTGGACAAATCAAATGCCACCAAATGTTGGAAATACATCATCACCTTCACCATCTACAGGAATCCAAAATATATCACCAACAAGATCTCCAAGTTCGCCTTATGCTACTCCATCACCATCAGCAACTTATCACCATTTGACACCTCAAAATCATCAGCAATATCAGACGGGAGAGTTTCAAGGAAGCGTTTCTCCACATTATACGTCGCAAGCATCTCCAGTTGTGCCTGTTCCACAAACTCATCAACTTTATTATCCATCATCATTATCGCCATCGTCACATCAAATTTATAGCAATATGGGACTCAGTAATTTTAGTTATGCACCTGGATGGCACGGAACTGCAGATTATGGATTATTTCAAAACACGTATCATTATCAACCGGCTGAATATATTCCATTAATTAACAATAATGATGCAAGGTAATTAAAACAGATGACATGTGGCTTTTTGAGAGTAAATAAACTTGTTTTTTTTTTTTTAACTACTGCATATTTGGAAGTGTTTTGAATATTAAGTTATTGCAGTGTGATAAAATAGAAGTTTAATTAATTCAAAAAAAATAAATTTGTAACTGTCAAATAAAATTTGAAAATTTAATGACTGAATATTTGAATTCGAAAAATCCGTTGTAATTCAAAATTGAAACTTCCATTATAAAATATATTCTCGTTTCAGTACTTACAACCAATCACCGAATGAGATGACACAATCAACAACCTTAGAAAACCCAGAAAAGCCAAATCAGTATGAATCATTAACTCAAGCAACTGTATATCATGCGGATCGAGGGTCACAAGAAATCAATCGTTCTCCAGATCATGCATCCAACAATAATAACAGCTTAGTATTCACAAAGAAAGCAAATTGGCCACCTTTAACGGAAGCTGCATCATCTTAGTCTATGACCAATATTTTTTTTTGTATTTTAATTATACTATTTTGAGATATTATGGATGGTAATTAATTAAATAATATTTTAGACTAGAATTTTTGATAGGGGTAAAATCACCGAAAGATATTAATTCCACGATCCTGCGGGATAATAACCCCGAAAATCGACAATTTTTATATGTTCCCTGCGGGATATATCTCCCAGGTAGATAATAATTTCACTTACATTTCTAATCCCACTTATTATCTTTATGGAACACGATTAAAATTATGGATTAAATTAAATCCAAAAACTTATTTGTCATAGTGGATAATAATTCCACTTGTATTAATAAGTGGATTTATTATCTAATAGAATTTTCATCCAAAAACAATCCCACTTATTAATTTGTCAATTTCATTATTCCAAAAACTTAAATAAGAAGAAAACATAAATATTGGTTGAATATTTGCTTTTTAAAAATATATTATTCCAAATTGTTTAAAAAATAAAATCAAGGTGGGTTCAAGTGGGTTCAACTGATCTAAAGATGTTAGCTATTCCATATAAAATTATGTTCGAGATTCGCTCGAATGTTTAAAGAAAATGTAGCTGTAATTCCATTTTGTTTCGCTTTATTCATTCGACTGTTTGAAAATCACAGTTTTGTTCAAATGTTAAGGAGTAGATATGTTCGAAATGGACATGAAATTGGTGTTAGCCTATTCATATAAACAGACATTTTTTTTTTTGTTAAAAAATCTCGATAACGTTTTAAATTTCTCAGTCTAAGAAAAATAGGTTATTTATCATGGTTCCATAATCCAAAGCTTTCATAATCCAAATTCAATGAGTTATGTTTAAAAAAAATGTTTTCATTAATTTCATATTACTGTGAAGGATAAATAAGCTAGAACTTTCGGAGATAATAACGACAATTAATTCTTTAGAAACCTAACCGATCTATTAAAATGGTGAAAATTCAACAAAATTAAGTGAAAAATTAAAAATATATGTTTTAAAATTTTGTATTTTTTCACGGATTAGGACAACCAAAAAGCTTTTTAATAACTCGATGACACATGATATTTTTTAAAAGAATTGAAATATTTCATTATTTAATGACTTAAAGCATGCAGAAAAACTACTTAATTGTAGATTTTTGTCTGTTTTACAACTCAGCAGTTGTTATTTAATACTAATTTCAACAGTTTTCTTTAATTTTCAATCCTTCGAATGATGAAAATGGAAAATTTCGATTTCTGTCATCGAGTTATTTACTAAAGAAATCAATAAAAATAATTAACACAGCGATTAGAAGTTTATGATATCGAAAGTATTTTACATTTTTTTTTACATCTTTTAGATTTATTAAATCAGGACCTCTAATGGGCAAAATAATAAATTTTGCTAAGGAAAATGTAAAGATTTAAACATAAAAAGAACGCAAAATTAAAATTCTGTTGCTCAAATTCTTATTAAATTAACTTGAATTTTAAAATGATGGCAGTTCTGATGCTGTTTAACTGTGTCTACAAGCCCCAAGAAGTTTTCCAATGGTTTTACACCATTTAAGAGATTTGATTGTTTATAATCTCAAATTTCGAAATTATTCTGATTATTCATTCAGATAATTTATTGAAAATGTTCAGCAAATAATTAAAGTGATTCGTACAAAATTCAAACGTAATATTTTGCAAGTTCTTTCAAACTTGAGCTCTTTTGAAGAAAAGCTTAAAATAAAACCTGTCAAAAAAAATTTTATATCCTAAAATAGATTTTATATTCACACCGTATTCACTTTATTTTTGTTCAGCTTGAAAAACAGTTTTTCGCATTTTGATGAAAAAAGCAAATGGGCAAAAACAGAATTTAAATTGGCTGTAGCATTGATGGGAAAATCACGTAATACGTAAGCAAACAAGCATCAAGGCAAGTAAATCAGCAAAAATCTCAATAACGAGGCATCTTAGAGACTTCTAATTCTTGCCTTTGATTCTTGCTGCGTTTAAAAGCATAAGGCTTTATTTTTTTATTGGGTAAGGTAGAAACAGCCATTGCTTCCAAAAAAGCAAAAAACCCTGCATCCTATATCCTGCATCACGTGAACTCAAATTTTGCCAAAGACAAAAATGATAAAAACGTGATTTTTGCACGTTTTAAATTTTGAAAGACTTCATTTCAAAACTATTTGCAAAAACAAAAAATTGAAAATTTTGTGTGAATATGATTTCTTGAGTGAATAGATCTTTGATACATTAAACATCTAGGCTCTAGGCTTTTAGAAAATTTACAAAAGGCATAAAAAAACCAAGTTTTCCACTTAACATTCAACCAATATTTTTGTTTTCTTCTTATTTAAGTTTTTGGAATAATGAAATTGATAAATTAATAAGTGGGATTTTTTTTGGATGAAAATCCTATTAGATAATAAATCCACTTATTAATACAAGTGGAATTATTATCCACTATGACAAATAAGTTTTTGGATTTAATTTAATCCATAATTTTAATCGTGTTCCATAAAGATAATAAGTGGGATTAGAAATGTAAGTGAAATTATTATCTACCTGGGAGATATATCCCGCAGGGAACATATAAAAATTGTCGATTTTCGGGGTTATTATCCCGCAGGATCGTGGAATTAATATCTTTCGGGGATTTTACCCCCCATCGAATTTTTGAGAAGAGAATCTGTAAATTAATTAAGCAATAAAAAATAATTCTGAATGTAGAGTTGATATAAAAAATAATATAAGTGTGAGATTTTATTAATAATATTCATAATATCCATTCGACTAAAATAGTTTTTTTTTTCATTATTAATATGTTAAAGTCTGATTAAAATTTAATGGATTTATTTTTTGATTGCTCAAGAACATAGCCAGTGAAGCGTTTTAAGAACTTTGGATATTCCTTCTTATAAACAGCTCTCAATAAATTTGGTTTAATCCAGCCTCCGGGATTTACGACTGAACAGTAAGTTATTTTGCAAGTCAAGTCATCTCTCGTTAAATTGTCCAAATCATCCAACTTTTCAGGATTGATGAATGTTTGACATAATAAAATAACTCTTAAGTGTATTCGAATACATTTTCCTTGATTTGCGGCCTGAAAATGTTGATAAAAACTCTCATTGCTTGTAAAAGGAACTAAATTAAGTTACTTACAGGGTAATTTGGTCCTTCTGTTGATTGGTTGCACACCAGCCATGCATCATGTGCATTTTCATCTGTACTGTTCGTTATTCTCCTGAAATTTTGAAAATTGATTTATAGATTTGTAACGTTTTTTGAAAAATTCAAGTATAGCGAAAGTTCAAAAATTGAATTAAAGTTCAAATTTTCCAATGCTTTTCAAATCGATTTTAACCGTTACTTTTTGATAAAGCTTATAAGTTAAGTGTCGAGCCACTAGCTTAGAATGAAAACAAAAGACAATTACCTCATGTGGGACCAAAATAAGGCGTCTCGTTGATTCGCAGGCCATATACGCTTGTGCGTTTGTAAGAAAACTAAGGTGTCTGGAGAGATTTCTTCCAATATTTGACACTCTTCAAGTGTCGTTTCCCAATCATTGCGATATCGTGGATCAAAAAAATAATGACACATTTCTCTGGCAGTGCATCCTTTAACAACATGACAACTTTTTAGTGGATCAACAACGATTCCTTCAATTTCTTCTTCACGCTGAATAAAAGAGAATTTTATGGTTACTGGATCTTTTCTGAAAATTCACTGGATCTTACCCTATACATTTTCATTTCTCCTTCGTCCGCAAATATTTGCCAACCGTCATCACTTACTCCTTCTAATGCATGTTTTAACTGTTCCAAGCATACAGTATCAATTTCTGGCCATAATGTGTGATATTTCGCCATATTTCCAGTTCCAAAATCGTCCAATACAGCTTCTATTACAATTTGTCCAGATTCAATTTGAGATTGTTGATTTTGAAGCTTCAATTTAACTCTAATTTGCTGCACTTCCTCAATCTTTTCAAGTCCAGTCTCTACAGCATCAAAGAATTCATCTTCAGGAATTTGTGAGTACGGTCCTTCCTCTTCAAAGTCTGGTCCGTTTGGTGACATTTTTGCCTTACGCAGTTCTTCTTGACACTCTCTGCAATTATCATTTTTAAGCAACTTTTTTACAACTTTAGGGCACTTAAATTTAAACATACTTCAGTTCCTCTTCAAGCTTCTTGCGTCTTTCAATTTCTTTATCAAGCTTCTTTATAAATTTATCTTCTTTCTGTGTGATTTGTTCGATACAATGATTTAATGCAATCGAAACTGCTGAAGTTGTTTCACGAAATGTTATAGCCTTAAATAGGACGAACATATAAATGACACAGAAGCAGGTAAAATGACTTAAATTAATACCTCTCCTTTAAAATCGTACGTTCTAAGTCCATTGTCTACTTCTAATGAACTGAGTAATCCGTTCTTATCAGCACACGCATCAAAAAACTTTTGTAAAGCATCAATCTGATTGTACAGTATTTCTCGATAAGTTTCAATTTCATTTAGTTTTTCACGTATAGTCTGTTTTAATGAATTTCCGCTCGTCGTTGATAGTGTTGTAGATATTATAGACATAGCACTGCCATGTCTTTTTAATTGTGTTGATTCGTCATCAGGTATCTATTTATTAGTTTATAAGAAATAATAACACACAATATTATAGTAGTTGAATAAACTTACTCTATAGGATTTCAGCACTTCGACCCAGTTCCTTTTATCATCTAAATTGTCAGCTCTAAAAAACCAAACTATGTTTTCAACAGAAATATCAAATCTACATTCGTCAATTTCGTGTTCTTTGATTGTAGCTCTTTCTAAGCATATAGCACCTCGACATCCAAAATCACTGTCTTCGGCTGATTTGTAGTAGCTTAATGTAGAATCCTTGAGACAAATGAATCTGACTTGCCATCCGTGTATGTAATTCACCCATTTTAATAGATATCCTTTCAGATCAGTTGTATTCTCCTCGTTCTCACTAAGCGACTCATCTTCAGCTGTCGCTTGCATGATGACAGAATCTTTAGAGCCAAAGGTTAAATTAATTATCGAGAATTATTTTTCTTTCACAAAAATTCTCTCTTTGTTTGTTGACACTAATACAAGTAAGAAATGGCTCCAGGACTTTGTGATACTTAAGCGATTATTTTACTCGCTCATTGGAACTGAGTGTATTGTACAGCGAGACAAAGAATCTAGCTTGCTCGTTTTCTAGAAATTATTGTTAACATGGAGTTTTAAATTATATTTCACCGTTATTTTTTTGAAAAATTAATTTAATTAAAGCAAGTCTAATGTCAACTATTACCACTATTACTACCTTTATTGTCTGAATATCAATAAAATTGGAAATTCAAGAGTAAAATCGCTTCAACATAAAAATTTTACGCCCAAACAATAGGCAACCCTCAAACAAAATTGGACTGAAAATAATCACCACCCAAAAAAATGTAGCAACTAGCATGCCAACTAGATTTCCTGTTGTGATAAATAAAAACATTAGATATCCTTTACGTTTCGTGATTCATTTATTAATAATTAGATTGGTGAACAATATAAGATAATTCATTAAAATTAACTACATTTTATACTAGCGGTTTTTGTGGTCGAGACTTTTTTCGTTTCAATGTTGTTTCTGACTTTAGTAATCGCTTCTTCTTTTTTATCAGTTTCTCGGACAACGAATGAAAGGTTGGCGCACTCATTGAATTATCAGTTGTATTTTGATGTTCCAATAAGTTTCGTCCCTTCTTAATTGTGCTGGCTGATGTCTTACTATTTGTGCCATACTTAACAACACCAACTTTCTTAATTGGCATAAATGTTGTGATCTTCATTTGACCATTCGAGCTTGATGATGAACTGGATGGCGAAGAAGGTGCTTTCTGATAAATAAACGTTGATCTTGAGCAACAAGGCATCTCCGAGTCATTGACATAACAGTTTGATGACTCTTTATCCGTATTCGAGCTATTCGGATTGATGTTACTTGAACTTGACACTCGAATTTTCTTGTGTGGAATCTGATTTACCAGAGCCGTTGTGATATTTTCCCTCAAGATTTTCTTTTTATTCACTAAAGAATCCTTCTTCAGAAACGTTGGAATCTTACTGCTCCCGCTTTTATTCGGTGGTGTCACTTTTAGAACAGACGAAATTTGAGATTTCATTGCTTGTGGATGAGAATTTTGAGATGATGATGAGGACGAGGCTATTAAGATCGGGACATTTAATAATGACGACGATGGCTTAATACAATCATTTTCCTTAGACGTGTCTTGGATTGATGTACTTGCCGATATGATACTCGTTTGCCTCTTTTTTGGCATTTTCGAGAACTGTAAAATTTTATTTTTATTAACAAAATGAGGACATGACCTTAGTTAGACTATGAACATGCATGTTTTTAAAAATTTACCTTATTTACCCTTGCTCGTGACATGCCTCTATTTATTTCATTCTTTAAAGCATTTCTCAGTCCTTGAAGTGATCTGTATTCGGAATTCTGAACTCTCGTGAGTGGATTTGAGTTTGTCAAATCAAGCAGTGATGGACCTAAATATGAAAAATTTGTTAATTATTTTTTAATATTACTGCGCGTACTATACAAGAAAAACAAATTTATTTCGGATTGTTACATTATACGCGCACTATGTGCATAAAGTAAATGTAATCTCAAATGACACTGTTGCATAGTGCGCGCATTGTACACATAAAAAAATTACGAGTAATGTTGTTTCATGTCTATTGTGCGCACTTAAACCTACCTAAAGCCCTTCCAACTTCCTCAAATATTTGTGGAGTGAATTTGGGTGGAACAAGATTATGAATTTTGGACAGAACTTCCTTTCCTTTTGGTGGCAATAGATTTACACATTTAGCCATATTGTAATTACTTTCTAACGTGTAGCACTTAATTAGGCCTGTAGCCTTGTATATTGCGACTCTTCCAGATCCCTCCTTCGACAATCCATCACGTCTTCCTCTGTAGAACAAAAATCTTTATTAAGTAATTATTTCTAATTTATGTACTAATCATAAAACTCACTTCAAGTACATGTTTCTTTCGCTGAAATTGCATGCATCAAAATGGAAATGATGGCAGTTTAAGCTCATCAGCTTGGGCAGTAACATTACTTCAACAGATTCCATAATATTCGTCAAATGATTTCCATACATAAAAACACCTGAAATGATTGAGTATGAATAATTAATAATGCTATAAAATCAACATAATGTCCAAGTTAAGGACACTTACCTTTTTTGGAAGCATGTCCATGCAAATCAAGGTATAAAAATAAATTAGTCTTTTCTTCAACGATGCTCTTGTCACCATTATCGTCAGTTTTTATGCGAAAATCAAGACTTATGTTCAAGTTCTGCTGATTTTGAGTGTTCATGTGAATCAGCTTTTCAGTTGATTTCTCACAGTTGTAGTGACTTATCATGTGCTTATAATGATGATTTAATTTAGCATCGTCCTTAGATACGTTTTTACGATCATTGCTCATCATATTTCTAACAGTCATTGCCGTTTCTTTTAACTTTTTGTTAACATTGCACCTTGGTTTCATACTTACATTGCTGATATGCTTTTTGTCACATGATGATGTATCTGTACTAATAAAATTCTCCGAACCACTTTCGTCAGCATTTACCAATTTCTTTGAACTATCGTCCTTAAATCCATCTAAACCTAATGAATCATAGTCATTTGCCTCATCCGATGGCATATTCTCATTCAATGACATTAAAGTCGACTCCATATCAATTGATTCATTTTCACCTTCTGCTTTATCACAGCCATAATGGTAGTATCTTATAAGCTTTCTCACTGCATAAATTGACGGATGTTTCTCCAACTTTGGATTAAGATAAACTCGATTCAAGTTATGTCCAAGCGTATCTGATCGGTACAAGCCATTGTAAACGCCGTCCGGATTGAGAAAGGGAATTATTTTGAACACATACATTTTCCTGTAAAATTTAAGAGTGTGATAAAATGTTGCATTTAAATCTTTGGTTTAAAAATAAATCTCGTGATATTAAAAATAAATCCGTACCTTAACATTGAAGCAATTTGGCTTTTGCGATCCAACAGTAAATTAAGAAATCCGTTGAGAACGAAGCTTGATGGCGTTTCGCCAGGATGAACACGAGATGAGATAAAAATGATTTTCTTATTTTTGAATTTATGACTTCTGAGCGTAGAAGTGTCAGGAAAGAGATTTTTTAATCGATCCTCACGATCATCCTCGATTCCATCGAAGCTGGTTATTGTCAAAATATCCACTCGTCTCTGTTCTACGGTATTAATAAGCAATTCACGACAATAATAAATGTCATTTTTCAAGTCATCAACATTAACGGTTTTGGTAAGTGTTGGTAAATTTTCTGGTGCCTTCTCAATCTTGACATTATTGACTAAGCTCGACAATTGTTGCATTGAATCTGAAGTGTTCTCATCAATTGATGATGTAAGACTTCGTTCACTTATGTCCTGCATAAACGATAATCCGTCATGTGCTTCCTCGCCTGTTAGACTAATAAATTGAGATCTTTCCTTCTCACAAGCTCCGGGATCTTGTGAAAAATTATTATTCACAGTTTGATTCATATCAATCACAATCTTTTCCTTGTTTGGTTGATTAAGTTCTTTAACTATTAAGTCCAATTTATCTGCTTCCTTTAAATATTTTCTGTCATAATTATCGAGTGCATGAATATGTTCAGTATATGTAAATGGAAACGTGAATGCATAAAATGTTGTATCCTCAAGATTCTCGGATGTACGATGACAAAATGACAATATAAAGTTTTCGTCTGTTAACTGAAACGTTGGCTTCTCTTTAGTACGTTCCCATTTTCCACTCAATCCATTTCTCATGACAGGATGCATTCCTTGACTAAACAATTTTGCCTGCTTATTTAAATTAACTAAGTTTAACTTCACCAATTGATTAGGTTCGCCTCCACAAATGCTGCAAATTTATATATTCACAGTTATTGCATATATGAATAATGTAATAGAAATAAAACTTGAATACCTAAAGAAGAACCAAGTACGATTCCCGTGATGTAAATTTCCACATGCCCCATTACATTCCAAATTCCGACAAGGCTTTTTCGAACTTTCTAGAATCGTCGTTCCATTTAGTCCACAAAAATTATCGGGTCTCGTCCATAGATTAAATTCGATGTCAATTTGTCGCTCTTTTGAGGTCGTTGGAACTAAATTTACAATTTGTGGTGGCTCATTTGTGGATTGCACGGAATCGGAATTTGAAACAGCTATTTGAAAATTAGAATAAGAACCGATTTAATTATTGCATTCAATGTATAAAGTATAAGCACTTTATATAAGCAGCCAATTGCTTATGGCTTAGGTACGAGGAAAATATGTCAAGAGAAAAAATAACATTTTTTCAGAGGAACTAAAGCTGAAATGTTTAAATGTTGCATTGAACTACATTAAGAACTATTTATTTAGTGCCGTGTTGTTTCTATGCCTTATAATGTCAAATTAGATCCATTGGAATCGATTTTTTCGATCAAGCTCTTTAGAAAGTTTCACAATACAATGGAATCTTTGAATTTTCATTATTTCCTTAATTTAGCACTTTAGACACACTATTAATTGCAATACTTACTGTTTTTCCGAAGTAATTCCACTTTAAATAAGTTTCCCGAGTCAAAATCTGATGAAAATATATAATTTTCACAAATTATAGTTGATCGAACAGTTGAAGAATTCATTATTTCTCTTTAATTTCTTTATATATTCAACTAAAAATATAATTTCCCTATAATATAAGATTTAATTAATTAGAATTTGTTGCTTCTACTCCTATTAATGTGTTCTAATCTGTCAAATATTTAAAATAAAAATTTGTTACATTTCACAATTCAACTTTTTTTTGTCTATGAAGGTTCCACCTCATAATGTCCACAATTTTCACATCACCCAGACTATACATCACCCAAACATTCAAGTCTGTAGGCTGGAAGCCTTTTTCTTCAATTTTTTAACGTATTTTTTGAATTTGAAATAAAACGGATAATTTAAATTTGAATTCAAGTTCAAAAAATTGAACTTGATTTTTTTTTTGGATTAAATTCAAAAACCTCAAAAACGTTAAATTACTCACGAATTTATAAACAGTTTTTAATATCTTTACCTGCATTATTTACAGTAAATAAACAAAAAAGAGTTTACTCAATAGTTTGGGAACAACTTTAGGTAGTAAAGTATGAATAAAATGGGCATAAATAGGAGATTATAATTCAGTTTATTCTTAACGATCACACAGAATTTAAAAATTTTACAACAACAATTCTTGGAGGAAATTTCAGCGTCAAAAAAAGTAGAATTAATTAAAATTATGGTTTACATCTCATAAAACTGTTAATAGTACATTAATCCAGTTATCAACATTAAATTAATTAAGTTAATCATAAAGATCTATAAAGATTGCTTGTAAAAATCAGTGAAAATGACTAAAGGCGCGGAAATTGAAACGCAAAGAAAATCAAAACAGGATTTGTTAAATAAATTCATATCAGGTAAGAATCTCATCCTATTAATACTATACTTCTATCAACAATAAACATACACTAAGGTTGTTGTAAACTATTTCATAGTTTATGATCATCGAAAAAAACCAGGTTATGCGTTATGTGGAAAACCAGTACAAATTTATGTTATATTTTAGATGCAAAACAAACGGAAGAAAGTCATGAGATGGATAATAAAGAAGAAGAACTGGATGTGAAAGAAATTGGAAATATTGAGGAAATTGAGAATGAGAAAGAAGTTTCCGAAGGTTACATCACAAATATCAACAATAATACAATGAAATCAAATATGGAAGTGGACATAACATCAGATTGTTCGTCAACTGGCGATTTAGATACCGAGCATTCAAAGGAAAAGCATTCTTCTGAACTATCAGATACAGACAGTGCATTGAGCTCAATTAATACAATTGAGTCCGGTAAAACTGCAAGTAAAGAATCAATTGATGAAGCAAGCACAGTTTATGTTGGGGAAATAGTATGGGGATCATTCAGACAAACAAGCTGGTTTCCATGCCTTATTTATCCTTCCGAAAATGGTCCATCAAGCAACAAAGTACTGGTTAAATATTTTAATTATAATGGATTGACAGCATATTTACCGTTAAGAAATGTTTTCGAGTTCGAAGGAATCGAAGAATTTTGGCATGAAATTACACAAGTCAGAGGAATTAAGAGATCAAAAATTACAGCTTTTAAGAAATCATGTAGACGAGCAATAGAGCAAGCAAAGTGTTTTAAAGCATTTCCAATTTGCGATCGAGTCAATTTACTAGACAGAATTACAGAGTTTGAAAAGAAGTTTACAAAAAATTTAGATGAACTAGATGCGTACATTGATGAATCAGTAGATGAGAATCCAATTAGAGAAAACTTAAAATTATTCTTCAGAACAATAAAGAAATACGATGAAAGTGTGGAAGTTCTTGAAAAGGAAGCGGACATTAAAAAGGAAATTAAGCCTGAACCATCAGAAAAACCAATAATAATAAAAACTGAGGAAACAGAAGAGCTTAAAGACAGTCTTAATAGAAGATTGTCAACTAGAACTCTTGGCAGAAAAAGGAAATTTGACGAAATTAAGGAAGAAATTGAAGATATAAGCAGCATAGAAGAAAATATCCAAATTGAAGACGAGTCGCTAAATTCTCCAGCATTAAAGAAACCAAAAATAAAACGAGAAGAGACGCTTGAGGAACGATTCCTGTCCGAAATTAAAGATGTTCATTATCCATTTAGAAACGTATCAAAAAGTAAGGCATGCACAAAATGTTTGGAGAAAGGTGAACAGTCTACTTATCGGTGTAGCGGAAAAAATTGTGCTAATTGGTTTCATGAGTCATGTTTTGAAAAAGTTGAGTGGCGAAAAGAACAATTTAGACACAAAACTGGTGACAGCGACGATATAATTGTGACAGAAAGCACACGAGCATTTTATACATGCACATCATGTATAAAAGACGAAAAGCAATGTTTTGTATGTCATCAAGACGTTCCAAAGGATGAGAAGGAGATTTTTAATTGCACAAATCCAGAATGTAAACTGCTGTATCATGAGAAGTGTCTTAATCGTTGGCCTAAAAATCGTGGATCATGTCCACAGCATTATTGCCATACATGTCACTCGAAAAGTATCAACAAAAATGGTGGTCTTGCAAAATGCATGCAATGTGTAGCATCATATCATGCTGAAATAGGCTGCGTACCAGCTGGAACACAAATTTTGTCTCGTACTCAAATTATCTGCCCGAGACATAAATCTGAAAAGGAACAAATCAAGAGAAATAAGAATAAGAGTAAATTTAAGCCATTAAATATTGATTGGTGCAGCATATGTACAAAAGGAGGCGAATTAGTTTGTTGTGAAGGATGTCCAAATGCATTTCATAAGGTTTGTCTTGGTGATAAGTATCAGGATAATGATGATGTATTTATGTGCGATGAATGCTTAGACGGGAGATTGCCACTTTATAATACAATTGTTTGGGCACGTCTTGGCAATTATCGCTGGTGGCCTGGATTTTTAATGTTACCATGGACAGTTCCTCATCAAATCTTAAAAAGACAAGAATTTGAACGTGAATTTTGTATTCGATTTTTCGGAAGTAACGATTTCTGCTTTGCAACTTGTGAACGTGTATTTCCTTATGACCTCCAAACTGAGGACATTTACACAAATATTAAAAGTGGAAATAAGCGTTTAGATTCATTATATCAGTTAGCCTTGCTCGAGGCTGATCAAATGAAAAAGATTTTGAACGATGAAAATGAGAAGAAGATTGAAAAGGACACAAAGCCAAAGTTTTATAATAAAGTCACTCAGAATCGACCAGTTCCACCCGTCAAGCTTAAAAAGATCGGTGAACATTCTTTGGAAACATGTGACTGTAATTCAAATGACGCATCGCCTTGTGGAAAAAACAGTAATTGTATTAATATGCTGCTAAACTTTGAATGTGACAAGAAATGTCCAAGTGGAATTAAATGTCAAAACCAAAAACTTCGAAATCGAGAGAATTCTGAGATCAAAATTGTAAAGACCAAAAGTCGTGGTTTTGGGGCAGTTTGTGTCAATGACATCGAACCCGATACGTTTATCATCGAGTATGTTGGTGAATTGATTGATAATGCTGAACTAAATCGTCGTATGGACGGGAAAATCAAAAGAAAGGAACGAGAATTTTACTTTTTGACTGTAGAAAGTGATTTGTTTGTTGATGCTGAATTTTATGCAAACAAGTCGCGTTTTCTCAACCACTCTTGTGATCCCAATTGTGAAACTCGCAAAGTTACAGTCGACGGAAATACGAGGATTGGAATTTTCAGCAAAAAGTTTATTCAAGCTGTAAGTATCAATTTTTAACATCTTTTTAATATTTGAATTTTTAAGTTCAAATTTTGAACTGACTGACATTTAAATTCATAAAACCCGTTATATTTTTTAACAAATCTTGTTACCTAATAATTTAATTTCCATTTTTCAGGGTACAGAGCTTACTTTTGACTATCAGATGCAATTTGTCAGTAATCTGAAGACAAACTGCTACTGTGAATCTGTCAATTGTACTGGTTTGATTGGAGATGCCAAGAAAATCGAAGAAGAGAAGAAGATTAAAATTAAAAAGGTCAAGAAGTCAAAACGAAAGAATGACATCAAATCGGTAGTTCAAAAGCGAGTCGAGAGGATATCTGCAAACTTTTTAATCGACAATACACCCAATCCATTTGATCTGATGATGGAAATGATTTAACTAATATTTTAGATTTCTAAATAGCAAATGCCTTAAAAACTGTTTTTTAGACAATTCTATGCCTAATTAAGAATCATATGAAACAACTTTTTAAAATCGTGTTTTTAAAAATTTAACGAAAGTGTTAAATATAACTTTATGTAGACTATACATGTTGGTAATGTCATAATATATTAATTAAATTTTTTTGGAATATAAAACCCTTTTTTGCATTTTTTGTTTGTACTTTAATATTCCAGGAATTCACGAAGTTTGAGTTAAGTGAGATTTAATGTTAAATCTAAGGATTATAATTTAAATTATAACGTTAACGTATTTTGATGTAAACAAAAACTGAACGTGCCCCAAAAAATAGAAATAAAAATACTTCATAAAAAAAACTTTTTAAAAAACCACGTTTTTTCCCGTGGACTAAAAAGTAGAAAATAACTTTTTTAATTGGGTTCAAAGGATATTGGTTTGAAAATTTGAGATTGATATTAAAGTTTTATACTAAAGTCATGACCATACATGAATTGCAAATTTGTTCACTTCGACCATATTGTATAGTTCTACATCTTAAAACGTGGGCGCATTCATTAATATTGTATATTAGGAAAGCTTAAATTTTATATAAATGCGCCCACGTTTTGAGATGTAGAACTATACAATATGGTCGAAGTGAACAAATTTGCAATTCATGTATGGTCATGACTTTAGTATAAAACTTTAATATCAATCTCAAATTTTCAAACCAATATCCTTTAAACCCAATTAAAAAAGTTATTTTCTACTTTTTAGTCCACGGGAAAAAACGTGGTTTTTTAAAAAGTTTTTTTTATGAAGTATTTATTTTCTACTTTTTAGTTTTAAAAAATTATTTAAAGTATCCATCGATCAGCATAAGTTTGTAAACTAGAACAAAACCATAGAAAGTCTTCATCGATCAGCTGTGCTTCGCACAGCATAAGTTTGTAAACTAGAATTTAACCATAGAAGTCTTCATCGATCAGCTGTGCTTCGCACAGCATAAGTTTGTAAACTAGACTCATACCATAGAAAGTCTTCATCGATCAGCTGTGCTATCGCACAGCATAAGTTTGTAAACTAGAGCAAAACCATTGAAAGTCTCAACGATCAGCTGTGCTTTGCACAGCATAAGTTTGTAAACTAGAATTTAACCATAGAAGTCTTCATCGATCAGCTGTGCTTCGCACAGCATAAGTTTGTAAACTAGACTCATACCATAGAAAGTCTTCATCGATCAGCTGTGCTTCGCACAGCATAAGTTTGTAAACTAGACTCATACCATAGAAAGTCTTCATCGATCAGCTGTGCTATCGCACAGCATAAGTTTGTAAACTAGAGCAAAACCATAGAAAGTCTTCATCGATCAGCTGTGCTTCGCACAGCATAAGTTTGTAAACTAGAATTTAACCATAGAAGTCTTCATCGATCAGCTGTGCTTCGCACAGCATAAGTTTGTAAACTAGACTCATACCATAGAAAGTCTTCATCGATCAGCTGTGCTATCGCACAGCATAAGTTTGTAAACTAGAGCAAAACCATTGAAAGTCTCAACGATCAGCTGTGCTTTGCACAGCATAAGTTTGTAAACTAGAATTTAACCATAGAAGTCTTCATCGATCAGCTGTGCTTCGCACAGCATAAGTTTGTAAACTAGACTCATACCATAGAAAGTCTTCATCGATCAGCTGTGCTTCGCACAGCATAAGTTTGTAAACTAGACTCATACCATAGAAAGTCTTCATCGATCAGCTGTGCTATCGCACAGCATAAGTTTGTAAACTAGAGCAAAACCATTGAAAGTCTCAACGATCAGCTGTGCTTTGCACAGCATAAGTTTGTAAACTAGAATTTAACCATAGGAGTCTTCATCGATCAGCTGTGCTTCGCACAGCATAAGTTTGTAAACTAGAATTTAACCGTAGAAAGTCTTCATCGATCAGCTGTGCTTCGCACAGCATAAGTTTGTAAACTAGAATCATACCATAGAAGTCTTCATCGATCAGCTGTGCTATCGCACAGCATAAGTTTGTAAACTAGAGCAAAACCATTGAAAGTCTCAACGATCAGCTGTGCTTCGCACAGCATAAGTTTGTAAACTAGAATTTAACCATAGAAGTCTTCATCGATCAGCTGTGCTTCGCACAGCATAAGTTTGTAAACTAGAGCAAAACCATTGAAAGTCTCAACGATCAGCTGTGCTATCGCACAGCATAAGTTTGTAAACTAGAGCAAAACCATTGAAAGTCTCAACGATCAGCTGTGCTTCGCACAGCATAAGTTTGTAAACTAGAATTTAACCATAGAAGTCTTCATCGATCAGCTGTGCTTCGCACAGCATAAGTTTGTAAACTAGACTCATACCATAGAAAGTCTTCATCGATCAGCAGTTTTAAGTTTCCGAAATGCTTAAATATTGTATTGTCACCGGAAAGAAAAGTGCATGCAAAATTTCAGCTCGATTATAGCAGTAGAAGTGGTCGAAATATTGATCGCAAGATTTGAAATTTTTTGCAAACAAACAAACAAACGAGAAAGCTAGTTAAGAAAAACGTGGTAAAATATTCAATGAATAAGAAAAAAAAGTGGTTTTTATGGGTTTTTATCAATTAATATATTAAGATGAGTGCATTTATTCATTTGTATAATATGTATGAGGAAGAGCTGTATTCAAATTGCCACAATTTAGCTCAATTTTATTTGTCAAATCCTGAAATTTTCAATTTAACTCCGGAAATACTTATTGTTGTTTACATTATTAATGGAAATTCGTGAGTAAAAAACAGCCAGCTATATATAGCTATTAACATTCATGTATCTTTAAGACTATGGGAAATGAAGCACTACACGGAATCTCAAAAACAGTTCGAGGAAGCGCTTTTATTGAGAAAGGCTTTAATAGATCCAGCAAATATTAATTACACTAAGGATGTTAAGGATCAGTCAATTATACTTGGTGTAATTGAGAATTTCAATGAAAATGAATTAAAGTATAGGATTGCAAAGTGTCAAGTTGAGAACCAGCAAGCGAAAGAAGCCTATTCAATCTTGCAGTCAATTCCAAAGCCTCGATCTGCTAAGGTGAACTTCATGATGTGTAAAGTAATCCAGCAATGTGAATCAGGAAGCGATAAGAATTTAATAGCATTATATAAGGAAGTGCTGAAGAAATGTCCACTAGCTTTTGAGTGCATTGATTCAATGCTGCATATGGGAGTTAAAGGAAATGAAGTGAATTCACTGATCATTAACACAACGTCCGCAGAAGGTGCAAATTTTGAATGGCTGAATCTTTATATTAAAGGACTGTCAGAGATCCACAATAGGAAAAATGCTGAGGCTATAACCACACTCTTGTCAATTGACTGCTTAAAATCTAATCCTAGAATATTGGCATTGGTTGGTGAAGCTTTATATTTTTCTGGAGATTATGAAGGTGCATATCGGTATTTAAAAAGATCCTATGACATTTATCCATTCATGAAGGAAGGCATTCAAAAGTATGCACTTCTTTGTGATATGTTTAAGAAGCCTAAAGAATTAGAACTGATGCTCAAGCCTTCAACATTATTTCCGTACTCATCAACTAATTGCTTTGTCTTTGCTACATATTTATTTTGTTCCTTAAAACTCGATAAGGCACAGTATTTTATTAATCGTGTGCTCTCATCACATCAGTATAAGAACGTTGATGGATTAATTCTTAATGCTAAAATCTTGCATGGAAATAAGAAGCCTAATGAAGCACTAGTAAGTCTCAGGAATGCACTTAAGTATGAGCCATACCGTTTTGAAGTTCATCGATGGATTATTGAAATTTTAATGGCAACAGATAAAGGAAAAGATGCACAGAATCAAGCGATAAAAACTTTAAAGTTACTGGGTGAAAGTCCAAGGACATTAACTATAGCAGCATCAACATTCCTCAAAAATCCAATAAGCAAGGAAAAGGCCAAAATTTATCTATACAGAGCACTGGAACTGAATGAGTTTTATGTTAAAGCAGTATTCTTTTTAGCTCAAATCTTAATCGATGACAACGAAACAAAAGCAGCTATAGTGTTGCTTGAAAAAACGTCTTTAGTTGTGTCTAATATTAAAATTAGCTTGATGCTAGCTGATCTATATGCAAAAAGTAAAAACCTTTCGTCAGCACTAGAACAATACACAAAAGTTCTTAATTTAGACTCCAATAATAGACATGCAATGAATGGGATAATGGCGTTAGGCACAACATCAAGCAATTCCCTTGAACCAACTGCTGAAGAGGATTTTGAAGCAGTAGAAAATACATCGAGGAATAAAAATGATGAAACGAATGAGGATGAGCTGATTTGGTCCGATATCGAAATGGAGATTAATTAGAATTGTTTCAATTTTAGAAATAAAGTTTCTTTTTGTTTTATATTTTAAAGGATTTTATGCTGTTTATTCATTTCTAGGACTTTCAGCAGAAATAATGGCTTCGACAGTTATTTTTTATAAAAAATTATTGGTTTTCAAAATTTCAAAATATATTCAATCGTTATTTTTCAAGGTTCAAAATTTCAAATAATAATCGTGAATTTCTTTTTAAAAAAACATGATTCTGAAAAAAAAATGTTGAAAACACAGAATTCCTTAATTTCGACTTTTTTATTTCTCGTCCTCACTACCTTACCAAGTGAATCTCTTAGACGTTTGTTGTGTTTTTTTATCATTACCATTCATAATTCTTAAAAATAAATATTTTTTAAATATCATTACATTTAATATCATTGCAGAATTGCAAAAAAAAAGATTAAAAAACGAAACAAATATAAAGTTGAATAAAAATGTTAAATTAAATTAACACTTTGATGCTATTTAGAGCAAAAGTTCTATATATTTTTTTTATCGTATATTCTGTTCATTTTCTTTCATAAAATCAATAACTCTCGACATCAATCAAACTAGCTACGTTTATATATCTCATCTAATCACTCAAATCAATCATTTATCCCATTATTATCCGCTTGTACCTGTTAAATCTTTCTTTTTTTTACACATATACCTTTTTAGATTATTTCATTATAGAAGTGAAAACAAGAAATTAAATGACAATCACATTATATGTTTTAAAAAGGAGAAATTGAACAAAAAAAAAAGAAAATCAAATAAATATTTTTTTAAGAAGGAGAACAAACATTTTTAATTCAAGGTTTTTCCATACTTTTGAAGCTATTAGTTTTCTGAATCTTTGAATTTCCTGCTTTACTGTTTGACGGTCCGCTTGGCGTATAAGACTGTGTCAAATTTGAAGCACCAATGTGATGTCCCAAACAAAATGCCAATGGACTTGGTGATCTAAAAAGATAAATTAATTTTAATCCTCCGGAATAATTTTAATCCATTTATCACTACCTTGTTGGAGAATTGGGTGCTCCAGATGATGATGGTGATGGAGTACGAGCCAATGGCGATAATGGAATATGACACACTGATTTTCTGCGACTTGACGATGGTGATTTTCCTGAAATTGTGTGAAGTTTATGCTTCAATCCATGCAATGACGATGGTCTTTGGTGATAAATAGGTGCCGTTGTATTTAAATTTGACGTTGGTGTATTTGGAACTGACGATGATGGTGATGACGATTGAGATGAAACTTGTGGAGAAATGTTTACTTGCTGATGAAATGGATCTAAGGGTGATAAGCTTAATCGAGGACTTGGACGAACGTCTTTAGAAAACGATTGGAAACTTCGACTTGGTGTAATGGGCGATAAAGCGCCACTTGATGTCATCTGCCATAAAATGCATGTGTCAATAAGCATTAATTCGTGTATAAATGAGGTGATTAATTACCTGTTGAATTTCTGCATTTGCTATCTTCGTGCTTATTCGTCTAAACAACGATATTCGACGCTTCTTATCACTTGAACCTTTCTGTTTCTTCGGTCGTGCATTCACCTTTCTTGCCAACTTCCCTTGACCTGGATCTCGTTTTCGTCCTCCGATTTGAATGCTATTTAAATAAAAATATTATTATTATTACTAATCTGTTTATTCATACAATTTACTAATCTACGCACCTAGTATTTTTTAATGGAGTCGCACGAATAGTCACATGCTCATGACTTGAAAGCAACAATTGAAGCACTTGTGTATGAAATAGTCCCTGAAAATTAATAATAATGATTAGGTAAGTGAATATAATAAAAGTTTGTATGGACATGATCACTCGTGACTGATGCAAATGATAATTGAAACAATTTAAAAATTAACGTTCAAAAAATATTTGAAAATTTCAAGGTTCAAAAAATATTTGAAAAATAACTTTTAAATATAGGGGCCATTCACTTATTACGTAACGCTTTTAGGGGGAGGGGGGGTCTAAGATTTTGTTACGGTTCAAACAAGGAAATTTTTTTTTTCATACAAATTTTGTTACGAGGGAGGGTCTAAGAAGTCATTTTTTCGCGTTACGTAATAAGTGAACAGCCCCATAAGGGAACAATAATACATTTAATTAACGGAACTAACCTGAACAGACTCGCCATTGATATGCGTTATCAAATCTCCTGGACGTAAACCTGCCTCAAAAGCTGTAATGAATTGATTCAAACGGTATATTGAGGAACACTATGACAACGATTATTTGATTCTCACCTGGTGACATTTCATTAACACTCATTACGAGATGGTGCATTGTATAGAAATCAGAATCTCCAAAATAGACACCTGAAATCACAGAAAAAAAAATAAATTATAAAACCCAAATGAAATGTGTAAAGCCCAAAACTTACGAATAGTTTGAATGACAAAACCAAATCCGTTCGGTCCTCGTCGAAGAATTATCCTGAAAGTACCAAAAGTTGAATATTAAGTCACACAATCGAAATATGTAAGGGGAAACTCATTAATTAAAGTTTGTTTCTTACGGAGGCTTCAAATTTGTTATTGTTGGACCGTCCCGAGATGGACTAACTTCACGACTACTAGCTGAGCTGCCTCCATTGTTATTGAGTGGTTTTGAGTGGTTATCACATTCTAAATTCGATTCATTCTCAATTGGTTTAAATAAATTAGTTTCCAATTTCAACTTTGTTCTATCTTTACGTAAATTATCAACAATTTTATCAACACAATGAGGTGATATCTTCAAGCTTAAATCTACAGCTGAGGCAGACTTCATGACCCGCTTTTCAGTCAATCCATGTGAGCCTTGATACGAAAGACTATGCAATTGACCTGATGTTGATGTCGATGGGAATAATTGAGAATGAGATGGCTGTATATCGTGATCAACAGATATCGATAATTTTGGCAGATTTAACTTTTCTTCAGCATGAAGTGCAATGAGATTTTTACGACGACGTTGTATTTTTGGTGAAATGTCATGATCGGAAGAATGATCAGAATCTGGGGTGCCAATAACATTCAGCATTTTGAATGGCTTATGAATTCGTTGATTTTGCTGCTGCTCCAAAACATCTGCTGTGGCATAAACATTCTTAATTTGCTGGTGTCTTAAGAACAGTGATGGAGCTTGTGCTCGATCTGGGGAATTCATACAATCGCTTATCTCATCGAATGGGGAATCAACAGGCGTTGATGGCATCTTAATCTTAGATGGATTAATCTAAGCGCATAAAGTGAAATTGATTAGTATTCAAGGAGAGAAAAATTTAATAATCTTCAATATAATACGCAATCTTTATCGTATAGTGCGCGTATAACACATATTTCGAATATAATGCGCAAACTATTGGCACATTATACGCATAATATATGTGATCGTGCGCACTATCTGAGCATATAAGACCGACCCAACCACTAAAAATCAAAAAGGTATTAAGCTCCAACTTACATTTAAATTTCTTATATCTAGAGCCAGTTTTCCTGAATCGTTTAAGCTACTATTGCTTTCATCACTTCCATAATTGTTGTTGCGATTATTATAACAATGTTTACGGTATTGTGGAGAGTAAGATGCGAAACTAGATGATAAAACAGGAGAATCATCGGTGTCTGAGTCATCGAATTCATGATGACTGTATCGTTCAAGACGAGAATCAAAATAGCTCGTGTCTTCTTCATTTTCCAATTGCGGAATGAATTCAGCCTAGAATTTATGGATTAATTTTGGATCAATAAAATTGTTTGATTGAATAAATAAATAAATAGAAATATATACCTTATATCGCAATAGACTATTCCATTCAATGCCATTTAAGTATGGATGTTCTTTGACTTCTTGCGGTCCTTGTGAACCCAACCTTTCTTGTGGATCTTGAATAAGTAAGCCAGTAATTAAGTTTTTAGCCTCAACATCAATGTGCCAATCTTCGTCAGATGGCCATTCTATTGACGCATCACTAACGACATATGAGAACAAGTCTTCAGCACATTCACTAGAAAAGTTGAACATGAAAATCGAATTAAGATTGATTTTATTAATAATTAATGAGAACTGTTGTGTGTCTTACCCGAGAAAAGGAACACATCCGATGAGAAATTCATAGAGTATGATACCCATACTCCAATAATCAATTGTCTTTCCATATCCTTGTCTTAAAATAACTTCAGGAGCTATGTAATCAGGCGTTCCAAATATTTGCTTATCAGAGAATTGTCTAGTTTCACTATTATCTACACAACCTTCATAAAGATGTGTTGTCATCGACATTAATCCCATTTTAGAGAGCCCAAAATCTATAAAGTAAAAGTTAATTGTGTTTTAATCCTTTTATCGTGAATGATTAATAATTTGAAGTAGGTATAAGAAATCATTTCGAATGACTAAAGTGCAATATTCTCACCAGTTAACTTAATATGTCCAAGAGCCGTTATCAACAAGTTATCAGGTTTCAAATCCCTGTGCACAATTCCATAACTATGAAGATATTCAACAGCGAGAACCATTTCAGCAAAATACAGCTTTGCCATATCAGATGGCAATGGTCCAGTATTTTTCAATAATGATGCACAATCACCTCCTTCAACATACTCCATGACAAGACATAGATGCTTCCTTGTCTCAAAACTGGCATACATTGTAACAACAAAAGGATTATCAGTAAATGACAAAATATCACGTTCTACAAACACTTGTTCGACTTGATTTCTCAACATTAAATTATTCTTATTAACTTTTTTCAGCGCAAATCGTTGTCGTGTTTGCTTATGCTTTACCAAATACACAGAGCCGTAAGCTCCATTCGAAATTAACTTGATGATTTCATAATCATTCTCGTTTGGACCTAGCTGCTTATCAATACTCTCATTGCGATCTTGCGTTGAATTTGCTGGTTTCTTAATTGGCGTTGATGTTAAATAAGAAGAATTATCACTTGACGATATTGAAATAATTGAAACATTTTGTTGTTTCTCATCATAAGGTAAATCTCTTATACTGCAAAAATAATTAAATTGTGTGGAAAGAAAATGATTATGTTAATGCGGTTAATGCCATTAAATATAAGTTTATAGTCACGAGTAATGTACAAAAGCGCATTCCCCCAAAGTTCATTCATTACGATAAAAAAGGATCGAAAAATATTTGAAATTTATAGACTTCAAAAAAGATTCTTTGAAAAATAACGGAAAATGGATAGATTTGCTTCTCTTTTTTGGGAATATGCAGCTCTGAATAATTAAATGCAATTACCTTATATCACTTTTCTCAGTACTAATATCACTAACATTAATGCTTTTATCTGATTTTTCACCTCTAATTTCATCACTTTTGTCACTGCTTTGCTGATGGCGTCTATCTTGTGTTATTTCAGCCAATGGATCTCGATTATTAATTCCTAATTTTGTAATGACGTAAATTGGCAAATCTGCAGTTACGTGACCTTTCATTTGATCTTCTGTTGCTTCCAATAGCTTGTAAAATTCTTCTGGATCAAATTCCAGACATTCCAGTAAACGAGCTGGACGAGAAATAATTAAAATTAATTTCTTGATAATTTTAGCAATCTCTGCCGATGCTTCGGGTGACTTTTCATTAGTTTCAAGCAAAAGTCTCTGTAAGCTGTCAGACATTTCTCCAAAATAGCGACTAGTTAAGACTTGTTTCGAATGAGATTTATGAAGACAGTCTCGAGCAATTTCCACAATTTGATTTGTCACAAAACGAACAATTGGCTGTGAATCTCGGTTACGATTTGACGTAGCTGTCGTTTTGTATTCATTAATGAAATCCTTCAGTTTTGCTTCCATTGCCTCGCGTGCTCTCGGAAATCTCTCCTTAAATAATTTATTCATTGTTGATGGATCACTATCCGAAACTGGGGAGCGACTAGGCGAACTTAAAGAACGAGAACGAGGCCGAAAAAAGGATGGGCGCTGGCGTTCAACTTGAGGAGTAGCTTCTTCGGATGCATTTGAATTATTATTATTATTATTATTACTGTTATTAGTATTATTATGATGCGGATTATTATGACTACTGCTAATATTTGCATGACTTTGTACCGAAATCGGAGGCGGTGAATAATTTTTCTGAAATGAGCTGTTTTGTGATGCATGTAAACACTTTCGAAGCGGTTGATGGATGGCTGATGATGATAAATTTTGAGTGAGTGGATGAGATTGTTGTTTTTGAATCGTTGGATGTGGTCGACAAATGTGTTCACTTCCAGAAAATCGATTATTCAAAACCCTTAATTCATCATTGGTTGGCGCGTGCGGAAGTTGATGTAGTCTTTCGCTAGACGAACATTGAGACTGAAAAATCAATAAATAAATTTAGAAAAAAATCTCAAAACTATGATTTATAGCGCTATATATATGCTTACCGAAATATTGGAACTACATGGTGTTGTGCTTGCATAGCCTGAACTTGAAGGAAGTGATACAATTGACCATCGACGGCTATTGTCGATAACTTTATTTTGAGATAGCCTTTTAAATGGCATAAATTGAAAGTGATGATTGGTGCTCGGTGAGTTCATTCGAGGACTTTCAATTGGCGATTGCGATATTGGACTCTGACTTCTTGGTGACAGACAAGATGTACTAACACGATGTACAGCCGGACTACGAATCTGTGATGTTTGATGATGATTAACGCGTCTTAATGCGACCATTGAGTAGTCTTTTGTGCTCTTGCCACTGTGGCTTACACCTTTATTTTTTGCAATAATAAATAAAAGTAGGTAAGACAGAGAAATTTTTGAGTAAACATTATGTGTGCTCTTTTATAATCTAATTAGTTAAAGCATTTAAGTGCTACTTACATGGTGCTGATTTTCCTAAGTGTGAATTTTTAAATTTGATCAAGTTTGACGTTTCTATAAGGAGAGAATTGAATGTAAACATGTAGAAAGGGAGAAAAGAAAAATAAATATAAAGTATGTAGGCATACAGAATGAAAAGAGATAGGTAGAAAAAAAAGTGATTGAGACGTGCCTTCAATTTCTGAACTATTTTTAAGAGAATTGGGCTTAATGGCTTTAAAATTGCTTTTTCGTTTCTGTATAGTTCCGGTATTAATCTCTGGTACATCTTGTTTCTCTGACGACGATGACTTCTTATCCAAATTTCCTGGATGTTTTTTTGATGGAAACTTTGATGATTTATCAGACATTTTTTATTTTTTTTTTTCTCTTGTTACAATATCGATTTTCATCTATCCCACTTATAAACTATAATTTTATTAGTACTTTATGTTTTTGCCACATATCTTAAACTTATAGACTTAATTGCAACACGCCTTTTTAATTATAAACTATGCACGAAGCATAATTTAATTCTTTTAATTTTTTCTGTCTTTGCTATAGAACAATCAAAATATTCGAACACTTTTCGAAATTGTTGGCTTGTTTCCTCGATTTCACAGCACTTAATCACAAATATATTCTTTATTATGCACGATACACTCAATTTAATAATTTTCGACTTTTTCCACTGTTTGTTGATGTTTTCCAAGGTTTAGTAACTTGCAATTAAGTATTGAAATTAATTTTTGTGTTGTTCAAATAGGTTTTTTTTTTGTGAAATATCTTCCTCGATATTTAGTTCTGATTGTGATTGTTTAGTAAAGTTATAGGAACAAGTTTAAATCTGCAATTTTTGAACTTAAATCAAAGATATTTAACCATTGCTTTTGATTTCAAGTTCAAAAAAATTTGACAACAATTTTTGAAATTTTGAATCAACGATTTTTGAAGTTCAAAAAAAATTGACAGCAACTTCTATCAAATATTTGATCAAACCTTTTTCAAAACTAAGTCTTAATATTTTGGAGAGCAAAACTCTGTCAAAAAGTTGTCAGCTATCACTCTCTGAGACAGAAAATTGAATAATAAGAGTGATTTCGAAAAACACAACATGCATACAAACTATTAAAGTCAAGGACAAAAAATCAATTTAAGAGATACATACGCAATGTAAGATACGGAAACTTATTCGAAAATTGAGTACACAAGCCAATAAATCTGTGATTCAGACATTTAAGAAAAGGAATTATTTAATTCTTATTTAAAATGTGAATCACATTCAACCGACTGCCTCCCTTTATTCCATACAATAGATTCTTTATCTTACTCTCTTAATGATATTGTATTGGTTTTAAAAATAAAAAACCCGTTAGTATCAGTGTGCATTCGATTGCAAATAATCAGCTGACTTGTATGCAAACTTGTATTCAAGTTGAACGTGTGAGATATGGCATCACAATATTATTATCTCACAAAACTGAAATACTAGCCACGAGTTAATTGACTAAACAAATATTATGAAATATGAATATATTGCGATTTAAAAGGTCTATTAATAGCGTAAGCTCGCGTGGAAATGAACTTAAAAAAAAAATAAGGTGATAATATAATGCCATTAAATATGATAGATTAAATCGTTTCTTTTTCAACATCAAATTTTTGTGAGTATTTTTATTTAATTTAATTTTTCTTCACTTCTGTTTTTTATTATTTTACAATACAATCTAAGTTAATCGTTGCAAAACGACTTTGCAAAACTATGTTGCCGTTAATTCCGCCCATCTTAGCTCAAAGTACTTTCGCATACCATGACCAGCCTTACCAACAGGAGAGTCATCTTCATTAAAAATTTCACAGTTATCAAATATTAATCGAATATCAGCTACAAACTCATCTCGCGCCTTATAACTATATATGTGCGTTGGGTAGGAAAAGGAAATTAAATTTTGATAAGTCTTTGATTGCTCATTTTGATTTGCTTTGCTTGGAAGATAAATAAACTCACGTCATATCTTGAAGCCGCTTCTTTATTGTTGACAAATCCATTGGATGTTTGATTACTTTCTTGTACGTTGGGAATTGCTTCGTGTTTACAGGAAGTAGGAAGGGCCAGGAATCCTCATGTACCTACACAATTTAAGAAAAGGACGTTGATTAGTTTGAGTTTTTATGATCTCCCATTGTGTGGGTCTCAATTTTGTAGCGGGTTTTTCAGAATGAAGAGGCACCCAAATTAACATTATACTCACTTCCATTTCCTCTAAAATGACCTTGCAGATTGCCATTTCCTTCATTAATTTTTTTGCAGCTTTCTTCTCAGCCTTCAATTTTTCTTTGAGATCATCTCGTTCCTTACTATCTTTTTCCTTTATTGGACTACTATTATTTTGAGTATTTGTATCACTAATTTCTGTTTCATTATCATCATTATTGGTGCTAGTATTATTATCATTATTAACTTTTGTTGTTGCGACAATTTGTGGCAGAATCGGTGGCAGAATCGGAGTACTAGAAATCTGAGGAGTCGTATCTGCAGAAGTTAAATTAGGAATAGTATTGTTCATTGAGGAATGCTCATCAATTGAAAATGAAGTCATTGATGCAGTTGGACTAAAAGGGGGTTAATATACAATAACTTATAAGTAATTTGTTATTTCGGTTCAAATTCTACTTCATCTATTTACCTATTCGGCGCTACTTCATCGTGCGACGATGTGTCTAATGATTGTGATGAATTGTGGGATTTAAGTTCTTTTGGCTTTCGTATAGCCTTCTTTTTCGGCGGTGCTTTACTAACACAATTGGCACAATACCATTTTCCTCTTGGTACTTTCAACATCGGTGGGATATAGCAGTCATGATGATATGCACGAGGACATAATTCACATAATATCAATTTTCCAACTGGCGATGGCCTGAGTCCTCCACAAATTATGCATTTTCGTTCACCTGTCACCTTGTTTATGCATTCAAAGCAGAACCTGAAGTTAGAAATTGTATTTAATTTCACTGTGTATTAAGAATTGAGTCTCTACTCACCAGTCTCCTTCAGGTATCTTATCAATTTTAGGCTTGAAGCAATATGTATGATATCCACGATCGCAGCTGTCACAGAGAAGCAACTTATCTTCAGATTCACCAGATTGACAGAATTGGCAGTTCTAAAAAAAGATATCAATTTAAAGTCAAATCGCCAAAGCAGTATTAAATTTAATCTTACAGCCTTCATAATGCTTTTGTCCCATGCGACGCACTGTTCAAGAGTATAAAGTGCCATTGACAATTGAGCTGCTGTGACTGACCGCTGAACTGCCTCTCTCCATGAAGATAATCCTAATATAATAAACCAAAATTAGACTTGAAATTCAGATATATTATACAAAGCTTCAAACAAACCTTTAGAGACAGGCTCTGATTCCGAACTCGAAGTATTTGCACTCGAATTTGCGGATGATGTATTGGCACACGGTTCATTAGTAATCGATGCGTTCATCAATTGTGCTTCACTCGTGCTGTAGAAGATTTTAAAAAATTAGACATGAATTATAAATAAGCCTTGATAGTAATACTCACTTATTTCCCAAAGGGGGCTTCAAGTATCTCCTTTCAATGGCTGCTTCCAAATTAGCAATTCGATCTTTAATCATATTGATATCAATATTTTCCAAAATATCACTTTCCGACTCATTATCTCGCTGTGGGACATTCCATCCCTTAACTTGCATCGATGCATTAGCAATTTTATCTTCGAGTCCCTCGACTTGATCCAGCAATTGCTGTTCAACACGTTTTGCAATGCGCGGATTCCACGCAATAAATGCTTCAGGTTCAATATAGCCATTTGGTGGTGGTGGAGCTCGAGCATTTGAAACTGGACATGGACAAGTAAGGTCAATACTTTCACTCAATGCAGATAAGAGATTCTGTCTAAGAATCTTTTCGCGAACGCCTTTCATGTGCAGACTCTTAATAACATTATTCATATCTTCAATTTCATTAATCTTAAACCATCCAAATCGTAAATCTTTCGGTACTAAAATAGATTCTGCGGTTTGTTTGACACCATTTCGTTTAATTTCATCAACTGCTTCCTGATCTTCTGGTGTCATTTGTGCTGCATTTAAATTTTCGCATTGTAGAAAAACACTTAAATTATTAATTGTCATATTTTGTATTGGAGGTAAACTGAAGTTGTGGCATTGATCATAGAAAACTTTTCCATTCAAAGGATCTTCGGTGGTTATGAGTTTCTTAACATCACCATTTTCTATACAATTTGAAGCGGCTTTCTTACTTAAATTAATTTGCTTGTTGTCACTTAAAGCTTTGTCTATCATCAACAAATCTAATCCTGATGTGCTAAGTACTGAATCATTCTTAAATTCTATTTCATTTTCATTATTCTCATAATATAATTTTGGATTGTAGAAATGCAGATTATTTTGGATTTCCCATTGATGTCCATGCATAATGATATCGTCTTTACATTGAATATTACGAAACATCTCAACCTGATTTGGAATGAGTGGGCAATCTGGTGTGTACAATGGAATCTCTGGATCAACCAAAGAAAACCATTTTGATAAGAGTGGTTCCATCTTTATAGACTTGATATCTTCTGATTTAATATCATCGCCATTATTTAAACTTTCGCTATTTATAGAAAGATGGCAATCTTTTGTGTCATTCAGGCCCTCATTCTCAAGTTTGATTTTTATGTCATTTTCTTTTTTCAATTCCATTTTTTCATTGTTTAACTTTGCTTCTTCCTCCATTTTTTGCATTGGATTCGATGGAACGACATGATTGATTTCAACAAATTTCGAGTCATCCAATTTGTTTCCTTTTTGAACCAATATAGCCGTGGGGATAGAATCTTCAATGTCAAAATCTTCATGATTTTCAGGCTTCATTGGTTGGCAAATATTGACAGAAGTATTCTTGATCACTTGCCCAATGTGTTTGTATTTGTCAACGCTCTCTTCATCAAATTCTTGTTCATTTACGTCTTCTGTTGCGTTACTTGATTTCTCTTCTTCAGGTTCTGATATTGTATCTTTAATCAAGTTTATCTTCTCATCTTCTGGAACGTCTTCAGTTTTTATGGTACTTGTGTTTGCGGTACAGTCATCTAATTTTGATTGATAATTTAAAATTTCTGATTCTGCTGATTCAAGTCCTTCAACATAAATTCCACCACATTTCGGCAAGTACCAATATCGTCTCCAATATCTATCTTGGCCATAATGTTTACCCCGTAGTGAGCTTAATGACTTTTGTAATTGCTGTTTTGTTTGAAATGATTGCTCTAAAATTTTTTCGAGTTTCTTTTGGACCTCCTCAGATGTCATTGTTGCATCCTCGTCCTCATCTAAATCTTCACTTTCTACTTCACTTGCATTATCCTCGTCAATTTTTTCATCCGGAATGTTTGGTTTACGTAAAGAATCATCTGCCTTACTTGGAATAGGAACTACCTTTTCAGGTGTTTTTGATGGTGACAATGTTTCATCAGCCTTAACCGATTTAACTTCTGCCTTATCATCTACCAAATCAGTCTTGTCAACTGATTGAGATTCTTCTAATGCCTCTTTCTTGAGATTTTGTTGAGATTTCTCGTATTGTTCAATTCTTTGTTTCCTTAACAATAATGATTTATACTTTCGAACCTTATTATCTAATAAAAATTTCTCCTTCTTTAATACTGCTTGAGATTCCAAACCGTTTTCAATTTGTTTGCATACTGCCTTATTTAAAAGTAAATCGTTACAAAGCATTGCTAATATTTTTGCTTTTACTGTTGGATTTAATGCTACATATGGTTTATCCTTCAAACTTTCCGATAATTTGTATCGTTCGTTGTCATGAAGAGCTTCATAGAACTGAGTATTTTTAGAACATTGTTTCTCATCAATTATCTCACTCTGAGCTTGATGATGCAGATCTACAAATCGTCCACACTTTTCTCTTTCCAAATTAATTCCTGTTTGTTGTCGTACCTCACCCGTTGCTACTGAGTACAAGTAAATCCTTAAAATTTCAGATACATTTTGATGTGTGATGTCAGCTTGTCTTAGAGTTTGGCCCAAAAGTGTTGTGTGTCTATTTGGGTTTGGAATTCCTGGATCTTCTATAGCACATACTAATAAATGTGTTATTACTGACAGTAATTCTTCTTCAGCTTCGACTGCATTCTCTTGACTTATTGCGTTATGAAGGGATTGAAGTGATGGTAGGGATTCCATATCTACTGGCAATTTAAATCAATGTATAATAAGGAAACTAGACAATTAATTCAAAAATTCTTACCGAATCCTAAAGTCTCTCCGAAATTGTGAAGAAACTCATAAGCCATTAAGAGATCAGCAAATCCTTGACCTGACAAACGCAGACCACCGATTCTCGGAATTATAGGCAATTCAATTTTGTTAATTATTTCTGAATCTTCTTTAGGCTTCCTCAATTCTGACAAAATATGCGCGTCTTGTTTTCTTACCGCCAATTTCTGTTCTCTTGATATTAATTTCTCTAAGAGCATCAAATGACGTTTCTTCTCCTTCTCTTCATATTTTCTTCGCATTTCCAATTGCTTGATGATTGCAACATGTTGACGCTTCCTCTCCTTTTCCTAGAATCATTTTCTTTTATTAGCAAAACAAAATTCGGTTTTAAAATAAAAATAATAATTTTTACTTCTTGCTTTCTCCTCTGCTCTTCCATCTTCAATTTCGCAATTTCTTCTTCTTTCTTGCGCTTAGCTTCTTGTAAATGGAAATTCTTTATTTCTTTTTCTTTACGTTGCAATTCGTACTTCTCGCATTTTTCCATGTCTTTTAAATGTTTCGCCTATAAAGAAGGGATACGGATTTAATTTGATTCAATTTAAATATAAATTGGGAATGAAAATATAGCGCATTTTTAAACATGCTTATGGTGTAGGAGCAGAGAGCAGGGCCGTAGCAAGAAAGTAGGTGAGAAAGGGTTGATATTTTTTCTCGAAAAACAGGAACAGATTGAAGAAATTTTTCAAAAAGGGAGGAGAGGGTTTAGAATCCTAAAACGCGTTGACTTCGCTTTTGAACCTGGGGAATTGAGACATATGTAAGCGAATCTGTTAGTCTAAGAATAAGACCTATATGACCGATTCGTTAGACACCGGATCGGAATCTTGAATCCTGTGAGAGTCTGAGTTTGATTCCTACCAAAGTACGATTTCTTAAACTCATATACAAAGTCTTGTTGAAATTAAAAGCATTCGTACAATGATTAGAACATTACAATGTAAAACTGTTCATTATTTATGTAAAGAAGCCGGTGAACAGACATAGTAAGAACAACATGTGTCATCCCCAAAATGCGCTAATAAAAACATTAAATTAATCTTATCTTACTTTCTCTTTAGTCTTATTGATTTCGTCTTTAACAATCTTCTTTGCTTCTCTCAAAGCTTGTTGCTGTCGGGCAATTTCAATTCTCTGTTCTACATTTAATTGTGCTGCTGCCGCGGCTGAGGCCGATGATGATGATCCTGACGGCTGTCTAGTATACATTTTTATTTCTTCTAGTCTTTGTGCAACTTCATAATCAGTCATTTTTACAAACTCTCCATCTGTTGCGTATGGTGGTGGAGCAGCTTGTAGGAATGTGCCAATGATCCTTCGTGAGGAAAAACTGAAGTTATTTTCATCGAATTTAGAATTATTTTTTAACAATTCATCCTTTAATTGATTCATGGTAGTAATTTTGTTTGTTGAATTGTACGGTGAGTAGTAATAGACGTCGCCTTTTAAGCCACCTGTTTTCGTTAGGCCTTTAATAATCGTTTCTCTTTTCCATCCATCCAAAAGTGGTAGTTTTAAATCATCAATACTAAATGATTCACTTTCACCATCTGACTCTGAAATGCCTGACGTTGTGTCATTATAGCTTTCAGAATCTGTATTTGATTGTACATCTGAATTTTGTTGATTTGCTTCCATAATTGCTTGACGAACTTTTTCCAAGTCACAGCTTGAGTTGAGTAAATGTTGAGGTTTGATGCCAACAGCACGACTTTGAGCAAGTAATGATGCTACTGTATTTTTCTTAGGCTTTGAGACTCCTCGACCGAGATTTCGTGGTCGTCCTTCCTTGAGTGATGCTAGAATAAAAAACATTACAACTTTAAGTATGGCTCAAAGTTTAAAATCAGAATATTTCCTTACATTTATCATTTCCGAACATACCAATGCCGGCAGTAAGGTTTTGTAAGTTACTTAAATTATTGACAGAAGATAAATCGATATCTTTGCTCGAACTCATCTTGGAACTACTTTCCCCAGATGATGAACTTGACGATTTCAATGACAAATTCAGTGGTGCATCATCTGTACCTACGTTCGGTTCTATTCAAGTAAGTAAACATTACTTTTGAATCTAATTAATTATAAAATTATTAAACTGTACCTTTAGATGGTTTCTGATCATAAGAACCATTTGAATTAAATGTTGACGGTAGCTTGATAACTTCAACCATATCATTCTTTTGTTTATCATTATTCGTGTCATAAGAATCCTATTTTAAAAGACATATTATTATAAAAAAACTAAAAAAATTCATTTGAAATGATTCAATTACCATCTTTTTACGCTTCGGAGAAATATGTACATCCATATCAATTTGATTGAATGAATTGTGAACTGAATATAGGTTTTGTAAATCAGTGAGACTGAAATTGTTTGAATTATTTAATGTCTTACTAGGCATCTTTGATCCTGATGAAGTATACTTGATGATTTCTGTGTCAGGTGGTAGTCTGACACCCAGAAGAGATGAAGCGCTGAGGAATCGTAAGTTGAAGGATTAAGTTGCGTGTAAAGCTTAGTTAAAATAAATTTTTATAAATCTTTAGGACTACTCACTTAGAATCTTTAAAGATGTTCATGTTTTGGTAATTATTCTGATCGCTGTTTCTATGATCTCCACGTTTGGATGAATAATTGTTATCTGAAATAGTAAGACACCATAAAAACATTGAAGTTTGATGTCAACATGCGATGTAAATACCTGAATTGTTATGCTTATCGTTATCCTTTTTTCTGGCACTATTACTATTCGCCCTCAATGGACTGTTATTCATATTTGAGTTTCTGCTTGGCACATAATTATTTTGCATAGATGATTTGCTATTGTTTTTAGAATCGTGTAAAGAATCGTCATGAGATGTATTAAGTTGTGCTGCAGCTGCAGCAGCTGCCATTGCCATAAAATCTTTTTGCAAATTTGAAGTACTCTGATATGATTGATTGTAATTAGAGCTTTTTGACTGATGCATGGAATCTTTTGAGGACGAGCTCTTCTTCATATCGTATGGATCTGGCATTTTATCCTTCCTTTTGAGATTATTCTTATTATTACTAGTACTACTGCCAGATGAATTAAGTGAACTGCTTGCGTTCGAAAATTGCGCGAGATTTCCTAATGCCGATAAATTAGCTAAATCTGGATGCATCATTCCAGACATTTGTAGCCGTGAAAAGTAATCTTGTGCTGCCATTTGAGCCATTGTATACCAGTCTAAAAAATAATAATTAAATGAGGAGTAATGAGAAATTAAAAGAGACAAATTGTTTGAATTTAGTGCTGTTACTTTGATTCATAGCTGATGAATTTTTATCAAATCCAGGAATTTGTTGCTGATTGTTACCAGGTAACATATTAAGTCCAGTAAACGGTAGGAATGGTAATGAGGAATCTCGACCGCCCCAATGTGCTGATTATTATTATGATTCAATCATTAAATTCTGGACATGAAATCATGGATTAATGATATGCTTACCTAAAAGAGAAGCAGCATCCAAAAATGCAGCTTGATTCGCTAGTCCTGGCATGAAAGAATTTTTCAATGCCTCTTCTTGTTTCTTTTTATCACTTTTATCCATTTTTAAATGTTAATACTGCTTTGTTATTAATATAATACTTAAATAATAAATGCTTGGTACTTATTTCTGATAATTTTCAATTTCTCTTTTTTTGCGTGTGTGACTCAAAAATACCGTGAAATTGTCATGGCGAAAATGTGGTTTAATAGTTAAATTTAATCACTATAAATTTTATTCTGAAACATTCTAGGCTTAGTATAAGGTATCTAATGAGTATCATTACTTGTTTAATCCACACATATCAAATTTATTAATACTTATTAAGTAAAAAGCAAATAATAAGGAATTGTCTTCTTTTTCAGCTAATGCAAAAAACTTATTTTAATTATTTAAATACTGTTATCTTCTAATCACTTTCGTATATTATTGATTCTCATCAAAAATTATTCGTAGATTGTCCTTTATTATGTTAATGCATTAATTACTTTTTTCACTAATTAGTTCTTACTAATTTCATCCTATTCCATAATTTATGCATTTTTCAGATAATTTTTTATTGCTAATGTCTCATTTCCTCCAAGATTTCATTGATCAAAAAGTTTTTTTCTTTAAGGATTGTATTTTTTTCAAACTTTTCAAACACAAAAAATCGCCATTAAAAAAAAAGTTCTGAAGAAAAAAAATTCCGGTCAAAAGACGTTTTTTTACAAATCTTTTTTCTCATCATTCATTTATCGTGACTATGTTCTCTTCACTTTATCCCGTTTGTATGGTTCCTTAATTAACAGTTTTTATAATCTATACCTCTTAAAATTAAGTTTTACTTATTAAGTTTCTAAAAAAACAAAATTGTATAAGGTTCAATATTTTCGAATTTTCGAACTGTAAATTTTCGAAGTTTATGCTATATTACGAAAGTTTATGCTGTAAATCAAACTTTTTTACTTTTGTGTAACGAATTTTCTGATTTTAAATATTTGAGCAAAACTTTTTCATGTAGGTCTATTAAGAATAGCAAGGAGCTTTTAAGCATGATCATCAGACATTATAAAACATTTTAATCAACGTTCTGTTGATGAATTATTAAAAAAGAATAATTCAATTATCAGATAAATATTGCAACATTGTTGCTTGACGGTGTAAATTACATCCTTTATCAATTTACTTTTAATCAGCACGAACCACATGTTGTACGAATAAAAATTTATACATGCTTAAAGGATCTTAAAATTTAAGCACTAGAAATAATTTAATCATAAATTAATTCTTGTTATAAAATATAAATTTGATGAGTTAACTTTCGAATGACATGTGATGCAACAACTGCATTGCCTTCCTGTCTTTGTTCGGATATATATATATATATATTGTCTCAATTTTGGTTTCCTTTTACTCAATTGACTGTCGACCGGGTGCAATATATGTTTACTGTTTATTGTTAAGGATTTGGGTTTATTTTGAATCTGGATATTTACCAAAAACTTATTTAGACATTTTATAATTTTATTAAGTTTGATGCTAGTTTAGTTCTCAAAATCATTTGACATGAATAGAACCGGAAATTTCTAGATATTTTAAAACTATGTTTTGTTGGTCGTATCGATTAAGATGACTGTTACAAATGTATTTGATTTAATAATTACTGGGGGTCCTCGATTTGAGTAGATTCTATTTGAGTATTTACTCACCAAAATATTCGATTTGAGTAGATTTCTTCCTGTTTTCTTCGATTTGAATTATTTACAAAACAAATATTTTTGATAATAACATTTCAGCAAATATTTTCAAAACATAAATATTACTGCAATAAGCTTATTAAGATCTTATCATATTGATAGAAAAATCAATACTAAAGTTACAAAATTCAAGTAAAAACTTACAAAATCGAATTCAAAAACTTTACAAATTGTTCGGTGAAATAACATTTGCAAGGTTCTCATATTTTTGTTTTGTTTAAAAAACATATTTTTTTGTGAATTTCTATTAAAAAAACAATATGAATATGCGTTGAAATACATTAAGTTATCTAAAACACATTAGAAAAGTTAAGCAACGAGGGAAAATTTGCAAAATAATTATCAAAATTTTCATTGATTTGATACTCGTTTTCAGGGTTGCAAAAACATATTATGTTTTACAGAATATGCGCATAGGGCTCGTTCACTTATTACGTAACGCAAAAAAACGAGTTTTTAGACCCCCCCTCCCCCCCTGTAACAAAGCATAACAAAATCTTAGACCCCCCCTCCCCCCCTAGTGCGTTACGTAATAAGTGAACGAACCCATATATGTGACATATTTTATGTGACATATTTTATGTGTGACACATGAAATTATGTCACACATTTTACATGTTCACACATTTTTTTCTGCGATATGTCAAACATATTTCCTGTCAAACATATTAATGTGTCACATATTTTTCCTGTCACATAATATGTTTTTTAAACATAAAATATTTTTTTATAAATTTTTGACAAACTTTTGATTTTTCGGTCTAAGTTTGATAAAATTTAAATTTTATCAATTTTGGACCTTAAGAAACCTTTCCTGTTATTAAAAAATGAGCAGAAACAATTGGAAAATGTTGTTAATAAGCAGTAAAAAATGTTGTTGTCACTCAATATTATAATTTTTTTGAATTTTTTTGCATTAATGATATGCTTAGAGTCAAATTTGATAGAAAATCAATTTTTGGACCTTTTTAATCTAATTTGGATTCCAAAAAAAAAGAAAAACGGGAAAAACATATTTTATGTTGAAAAACATAATATGTGACACATAAAATATGTGACAGAAAAAATATGTGGACATATGAATATGTTTGACAGGAAATATATGTTTGACATATCGCAGAATAAAATGTGTGAACATGTAAAATGTGTGACATAATTTCATGTGTCACAGGAAATATTTTTTTGACATGTCATTTCATATTGCAACCCTGCTCTTTTTCAACTCTGGATGGATTCTTTGCTTCGATTTGAGTATAAATTTTTTGGAACAAAACAACTACTCAAATCAAGGACCCCCAGTAATTTAAAAGTTTATTTTAAAAATTTTAAAAATCTGGTGAACAGTTCGAACTTTGCTTTGAAGAATCGAATGTTTTCCCTCCTTTAGATCTAATTTTTTTGCTTAAATGGACTATATTATGTTCATGATATAGATATGATTTTCCAAATATTTTTGGTATGTTCTTATGTTTATTGTATGTTGCATGCTGGAAGCTTGATACATGCCACTTCAAAATCCCATAATTTGGTCATTTAAAAAAATCCAAATAAAAATTGTTCCCAAATTTATCTTTACTTTCCTTTTTTGAAGTGAAAAATATTTCAACATTGATTTTAATGATTGAAATTGTCTACCTACCATATTATTAAGTCATCATAAAAATATTATGTCAGAACTGTCAAACTTGTTTTGATTGGAAAGGATCCTTAATAACTTTTTGTTAAAAAGTATTTCTTGAGAACCAACTCATGAAAACCATCAAATTAAAAGCTTTACAACATTTAGGCATAAAAATCTGAATCCAATCAAGTCAATATCCATTAAAACGATAATATTTTATGCTGAAATCTAAAACTTAATTTCAGTAAAGTATCCGAAAAAAAATATTTTATAGCTTACAATCAAAATCTTATGAATAAAATAGAAATAGAAATTTTTATCATGGTTGAAATCATTTACAAGATTTTTACAATTTCTCAAGGCCTAAGTTTTTTTTTCACACTAGAATTATATTACGGCATACTTGTATCCCGCGGTATATCTTATATTTTTGGAAATAAAATAAAAAAGTAATTAATGATCGTAATTTAAAACCAGTCTTTACTATCAAAATGTAATAAAATCAAAAAATAGAATTGCTGAATTTCATAATATTTAATGAAAATTAATTTTACCAGAAAAAGGAATTTCTGGATGAGAACTACCAATGATCGCACTTTGTCCTTTAATGTGTTTATTTCAGTAACATACGCTGTAATTATTGTAATTTTGGGCAAATTTTCTTTAGGATATATTTTCAGTATGATTGAAAATTGTGAGGAGGACTAATTTGAGCAGAACAAGGTTCAGTGAAAATTGCAGAGATCACGGAATGTTTTCCATTCGGATTACTTTATTAAAAAGAGGCATGAGGGTAAGTTTATAAAAGACAAAAATTTAAATTATTAAAAAAATCTAATGGCTCGAAATTTGTTCAAAACTGATGCAGTGTTATTTAAACAACATTGTTCTTTGAATCATAATGGAATAATTAGAACTCTTTGAATTTTGCAATCTATTCGATTTTCACCTGTATTTCATGAATTAATTCGTTTTTGATAATTTAGAATTGATTAAAATTCTCAATCTTTCTAATTCAGATTATCTATAGATTGAGGTTAAAAATCAGAGTTATCGAATATTGTTCAAGGTTTTCCAGATTTAAACTTGAGCAACTAAAGGCGTAAGTCTAGCTCAAGGGATACAAAGTCGGTTGTCACCTCACTCTATTTAAATATCCAGCCTATGGTCTTATTATTTAAATTCAACTTAATTTTTAAAAATTTCAATAATTTCCAATAATTTTAAATTATTTAAGAAATTTTTCAATAGATATCTAAATGAATTCTTAGTGGGGTTGAAATAATAAAGATCCAAAAACTTTAATATTCCAATAGAAATGAAACTCAAATATTGATCAACCATAAAATTTCCAATCAAAGATTTTAAATTAAAAAATTTACATTTTTCTTAAACTGAATAAATTTTTGGTGCTGATTGCTTCGTATTAATTTATTTAATTTGTTTGTTTACGCTTGAACAAAATGAAGCCAGCGGAATCAAATTTGGTAGACATGAATTTCAATTTTTTCGAGATGTGATAAAATTTACAGTCACTCTGAAGCCAAAAGTTAAATTACTGATACATAAAAGTCACATGTATCCAAATAAAACGTTTTTGGTATTTAATGAAATCTTCATTAATTGAAAATCAATGTAAAATTGTTAGCCATGTTAAGTAGGTATTTATATGAAATAACATTTCAATACAGAAAATTACATGAAGCGAAAAAATCCATTCGAATCAAACACGATATCTACATCAAGCAATTATCTCACTAGCAATCCCAACTGAAGTGCCTCAACATTTGTTTCTCTTGACTTCTTCCATAATTTACCTATTGTACAGATTTTTTTTGGTAGCAATTCGAAGAAACAAACCTAATGGCAGTTGCAAATGACTATTCATTATTTTTTAGCATATAATGCATCTTATGTATAAACTCATGTACATACATGATCTTCTTTCTACATAAATAAATAAATAATAAGATGTACAAATCTCTTTATACAATAAGCTTCATGAACATACACGCATTCTGACTTCGTTTCGGACAATAAAAAAAAATAAATGGCACATAAATCTATGATTCAATAACAAAACACAATGGGAAAAAATTTGCGTCAAAATATAGATGTGACTTTGACCACCCACATCGTCGATGTAGTTTTGCTCGTTTTTGCGACACTTTGATGCGGCATCTTAATTGAATCTATTGATGATTTTCAAAACAAATTCTTTCCCTTAGCCTTCCTTTTTTTTTTCAATCACTTAAATCTATTGTGAGTTGTTATGTCGGTGAAAATAAGTCAAATGTCTTATTACCTGAACAATCTATTGTGATCTAAAAAGTCACAATATTTTGGCATAACGATCCGATCCTCAATGACAACAAACAGAGAGAAAAATTGAAAGGAAAGAATTGCCTTCATTTTTTAGGGATTAACTTTAAAGTTAAGAATCAAAGAAGAAAAATGTTAAAAAAGGAAAGAAATAAATTTTAATTTTTATTTCTACAATTTATTAAATTATAGCTTTAT